AAACATCAATATGATACTTTTACACAGAACTATATTTTAGGGTACCAGTTGAATTCCAGTGTAGTCCCAATGGGTACCATTAGTGTGCTACCCTAGCAATTCATAGCTAAACCAATAGACATGGACAAAGGTCCTGATCCATTAGAAAATGTGGGATGACACGCTTGTTATTGTTAACTTGCTTGTATATTTCAAGCCCCCTGAGGCACAAGTCCCGTATCAGGCCTTGTAGCTTGTAAAAAACTGTGTTTTTAAAGGAGCTAGTAATACTCCGTATACCATTGGAATTCCAGAAAACCAGTCGAGCAGGCTGTTCACACTGATGTCATTTTTATTGTGCCCCGGTCTGCCGTTGTAGGGCTTGTTTTAATGGATTAAACCTCAAATGCCGTTTTTTATAGTTGCTTAGGTCTTGGACTGGTGCGACACTATGAGGAACTCTAATAGGGGCAGAGCAAACTTTGCAGCGGGCAAGCTGTGGCGTCGATGAATGAAGTGGCCATAAGCGAGACAACGGAAAGTGCAGAATCTTGTTTTTCTTCCTCTGCCGGACGCAAAAAGTTACCATGGTTCCCCTCAGTGGCAGGCTCAGAGGTCAAAGGTCTCCCTAAATTGTTCAGTGGATGGAGGGCAGCGAAAGAGAGCCCTGTTCTCTTATCTTCCATCCAGTAATAGTTAAAGTTCCTCAGTTACATCTAGAGCAATGACGGAGTCGTTTTGAAATGTTTATAATTGTGAATTTGGTTAACTGTATGAGAGGTGGCTCTTTGAATGATGCAGGTCAGCTGATTGCAACCACAATAATTGACATGTACACAACACAGTCGATACTGATAATGGCATCCCCCTGCCCCCTCAATATTGCAATTGCGATTTAATATGTGATTATTTTTTATAAGGTCCTCTTTCTCTGTATTTTGGAACAGACACAAGCAATTAATTAATCTTTAAACTTTTTAATGTTTCACAAAACAATATGGAAACATGTGGACTATGCTTCTTCAGCACCGAGCTTATCTAGAAGCTATATGAATAAATACATGAAATATGTTGTCCATCCATATCAACAGTCAAGTCTTCCAACCGAAATTAAGCATTTTTGTTTTTCAAAATTGTATTCTACCACATTGCACAGTCGATTTTAATTTGATGAATTGTTGAGCCTCAGTGAATAACTCCCTACCCATCTAAAACTGAGCACAATCTTCTAGATACAGTGCATGTTCAGCATTTTGTTAAATTGCGCAAGTGGCCAATTTCTTTTATTCCCAAGATATCTCAAAGCAAACTAAAGGTGCCGTTAAACAATCCGTACCTATTGACACGCTGACCTTTATTTTGGAGATTAAAGACAATGCAGTCACTGTGTGCGGTGAGTAGAAGGCTAGTGTTGAATGACTGAAAAACTTTGCAGACGAGATAAGGGGCAGGAGGAGGGGGATGAGTGCTCCCCCTCAGCACGGTGCTTTCAGGGGTCATGCCGCCCATGGGAATCGTTCTTTGTGCAGTCAGGCCAGTGGTCACTTGACTGTCCTGCAGGCCGGGTTGAGCACCCGCCAGCCCGCCACTGATTGATTTGTTAGCGTCTTTTTTTCAGTTTTGCATTCTTCTCCTCTTGCTTATCAGGCAGGCTTTCTTTCTTTGGAACCATTGCGTGTTGTTAAGGCCCCTTTTCTTCAATTAATTAGTGACACAACTCAACAGAATTCCAATGATTGTTGTCAGCAGTGACCAGAGCGCTTTTCAAACTTTTTTAGTGGCGCTTTTAGTGTGGGATTTATTTTTTCAGACGACATTCTGTTAGCGTGCGACCTAATGAATGAGGTGATCAATTTTAATGTCTCTCTTAAATGATTGGACCCTCGGGGGTGGGCTGAGTTGGGATAAGAGCGCATTATTGGAAGCATCCATGTAATTAAGTCACCAGGTTTTTTTCTGTGCATTCTCTTGTATTGCTAAAACACAATTAAAATACTCAAAGGGTGCGAAAATGGACAAATTAATACAAAGAGACTTTAAGGATCATTTTAGAGCAATTCCATCATTTATGAAACTGCATGTCTTTTGTGCCTCTTTAATAGCTATGTAGTTTGAGTGCAGTGCTTTGCAGTATAGACCAGAGACCGATCACAGTAACCAGAGCAGAGAGGCCGAACTAATTCCTGGTATTTGTAAGGGAACCTTTGTTTGGGCTTGACCTGTCCACTGACCTCCCGTTTGCTTAGTTGTTGGCATCTGTTACAAGGAACAGAACAAAAAAAGTCACATCGACCTTTGAAGCTTACGTAGGACAGGTTTTTTTGTTGTTGTTTTAAACCAAAGTACAAGCCACATTTCTTGCCATTATTTAACACCGTATTAATTTTCCATTTTTCTCTTGGCGTTCTATAAATGACGTCACTCGCCCGACATTGCCGAACAAAAGGATTTTCATTGTTCAGCATGTTGCTATGGATCTAACTATACTCCTGAGTGGTTTGCATTAAAAAAAAAAAAAAAAACCTAACAAAAGTATGCTTGAAATAGTTTTAGCCCTTGAGTACTGTATTACTTAAAAGCTGGTTGGCCAAGTTTATTTCACACCTGACCTTTAAAAGTCAGCATAGTGATATGGCAAAACATCAGCAGCTAAACAGTCTATAAAACTGCAGAGAACAGCAAAGGGGTGGCCTGGCCATGCATAGCTCTGCCTGAGCTGGGTGCTCGGCGGGATTTGTGGAGGTCAGAAGTCAGAGGTCAGCCTGCTGGGTAGGGCAGATGGTCAGCTTCTTTTTGCTTTTGTGGAATGGGCTCGACTATCTATCATGCTTTCCGATTGTTAAAAAAAAAATCCAAATGGGCTGTGAAAATAAAAATTAGGCACCACTCTGTAAATCATGTCATTATGTTACTGTCTATCAATTGGCATGTGTTACCCTTGATGAATTAATGTGCACATTAGATGCCCTTTGGTAAAACATCACCACCTAAAGTCTCGAGGTCAGCGATCTATTCTCAGCTGTGAGTACGTCCATAAAATTATCGATTTTTCACCTTGACTTGGTAGATGATCAATATTCAATGATTACCCCGCTGTTTGTGAATCCAGCATGCTTTTCCCGAGAAGAGAGGCAAAGGATAAGTGCTGCTCATCGCTCATGCCCTCCAGCCATATCACTCTAGCATTAACAGGAGGGTGGGCAGCAGTGTGGGTTTGTGAGAACAAGGCTCAAAAATGCAACCATGATATGCTTGCAATTGCTCCAGTTTTTTCAATGTGTGCTCGTAAAAATTTCATCTGGTCACACAGCACGAGTGTGTGTTTTAATGCTCCTACTGGTTCATACAGCGAAGGGGCTCCAACTATGCGTCGGTCTGCCAGACTGCACACGGAAGACCGAACAGGCATCAGGTTAAATCCTTTATGTATAAATTCAATAAATATCCAAGCCTGGCAACGGAGTCTGCGCGCTTGTCTATTTTTAGTGGTACATGCGGAATTATAAATACTGGCGACATCATACAAAAATACGGTATGCCAATGGAGATGACCATAAATCAACAAATATGGTCATGCTATGCGCAACCAATTCTGTCTTGGTGTGATCAACTGAAAACCTTGTCGCAGGAGTGGTACCGGTCCAAATGTTAGTGCAGAGCTCTGAAGAAGAGGGGAGCTGGGATGCCTTGCCCGGTTGTGTTTTGACATCCAGCGGCCACAGTGGATCTTCCAACAGAGAGGCAACAGCTCAGGACTAATCTGATTAAACATGACACTGGTTGCCCCCAACGTCCCCTCCCCCACTCCACCATCCCCCCTGAAAAAAAAAAAAGACTGGATCCTGACAAAAGTTTGCCTCTTGTCTAGCAAAAATGCTACTGACTGAGCACAAAGCTATGATTTTAACATCAGCGATGTTCATAAAACAACGGTACTGTACTCAGGACTGCAATGAATAAATAACGAATAACTCCAATAATTTGATTACAAAAAATGTTGATTCTCTCCCTCGAACCTTCGCAGAATCATTTCTTCACAGTTCACCATCACAGAACCAACGCAAGCACAATATGAATATTAATCAGCCAGTTTGAGCAATTCGTTATGAAGGGTTAAAAATGACAAGCGAAAGAAAAAGGAAGAAAGGTATTTTTCGTATTTTAAAAATGACAACTTTAAAAATGACAACAAGCAAAAGAAAAAGGAAGAAAGGTATTTTTCATATTTTATTTTTTCAGAGACCCAAATCAAACTGTTCATCAGAATGGGGCAAACGAGACTGAGAGTGTACAAAAGAATAACATGACAGCAAAGAGACAAAGGAAAATTCAAAAGGGGTCCTCCTCTCCAGTTTGTCTGGGTTCTACGTATGCTTTAAACTACCATTGAGACTGTCCAATCAGTTTTAACAAAATGTGACCAATTTTAAATTTTGAGATGACTCATTGCGGCACCGTTTGAAAAGACAGAGTTCAAAACGTAGCTAAACATGCGACTGGATGTTGTCGCTGGCCACTTCTTTTAATGTCATCGTCCCGCTATATGAGTAGGCTACGGGATTGTAATGTTTTCTCTTTTAAGGTGCGACAACTGGCATTACCTCATTGTTTAAGTCTGTAACTGTCATAGAAAGTGGACTTGGCCAAATACTTACCATGCAAACGAAACATTCTGGTTCATACCGGAAGTCGTGCCCCATAATTCATGCCAAAGTTCTTGAGGGCTAGGAACAAGGTGGATAGATTTCTGTTCATTCCCATGCAACGTTTCCAACCTTGTCTCCAACCTGAAATTTCCAGATTGCAACACTAATAAAGGCTTATTCTATTCTTTTCTCGCCATTGCTGCTAATAACATGAAGTGCTGTATTAGTACCAGTATATGAAAATAAATAATTTGACAAGCTGAACTTGTCACATGGCTGAAATTGATTGCCTGAGACCTGAATGAACCAATTAACCACTCATGCACCTTTTCAAATACGACAGCGAAAGCAATGGTTTGCTCTGTTCTGCTCCAGGTATTTCATCGTTTACAATCCAACCAACTTCCATTGTGGTAACCGAAGGATCAGTTGCCAGATTTTCCTGCAGAATCAGCGCGCACCCTCCTCCCATCATCACTTGGGAATTCAATCGGGTTACATTACCCCTCGCCACTGAAAGGTATGCTCTCAGATCTTTTCACTCCATCTTCGTCTTATTTATTTTTCTCATGCTTGTTGGACAGTCGAGTTATTTTGAAAAGCTGCCTATCTTCTATTGGCGTCATGTTAGTGTTATTTTGCTTTTCTTTTATTTGTGTAATCCAGAATCACAGTCCTGCCAAGTGGCGCTCTTCAGATTCACGGGGTGCAGCGCACAGACAGTGGCAATTACCGCTGCGTCGCCACCAACATCGTGAACCGGCGACGTAGCATGGAGGCCATGCTCACCGTTATTTCTGGTGGTTCCAACGCTCTGTATTATACACACACGGTCATGTGCACTGAAGCTAAAGAAGAAGAATAGAGATTGATTTTGACCTATTAGCCTCTGTAGTGAAGGAGGAGAGAGAGAGAGTGTTGTAATTTTGAACTGCATACAGTTGTGCTTTTTTATATTGTATTGTTGTATAGTATGGTGTCTCTAATTGCATCGTGATAGTGGCGATATTAAAATGTGTATTAAGTAAATCCACACTGTACCAAATGCACGGCTCACCATCATCGCATAGCGTATGGCACATGAAACCTGCACTAAGCTTTCCCCACCGTCTTGCAGCTCCTAGCCCCCGGCAGCCCCAGAGGCCACGCATCATAGCTGGGCCGCAGAACATCTCAGTGTCGACGCATCAGAGCGCCACTTTGGAGTGCATTGCCACAGGCAACCCCCGACCTATCATCTCATGGAGTCGAGCAGACAGCAAATCTATTGACGTCTATCACACCAAAGTGCTGGGAAATGGTAACCTCATCATTACGGACATCAAGCTCCAGCACAGAGGAGTCTACGTGTGCCGAGCCACCACCCCTGGGACACGAAACTTCACCGTCGCAGCTGCCAACGTTACCGTACTTGGTAAGGATACCCAGATTTAAGTATTACGCTCTATTTACATCCCTTTTCATGGACATTTCTTTGTTGCACGGTATATGTAGTTGACAGTATAAATTTGGGCTACAGTTATGCTTGTTGAAGACGTCATCATAACTGCCTCAGTGTGAAAATGACTTTGAGGACACGTGTGACCATGGAGCCGGAGGAGCTTCCAGCCAGCCATATGTGTGTCTTCATCGATCAATCATCCATCATTCCTTCTTTCCCAGCTGCTCAGGAACTATGGGGGGGGTGCTAGGCGCTAAACTAACGTGCACGGCTAACCACGATGCAGAGCCTCTTCTCTAAGTCACTAATCTTAATGGCAGGCAATAGGCTATCACACCGACAAGTATTGTTGTCACAAAAGAAGGATGAGGTCTCGCTAAACATCCGACATATTGAGCAAAAAGAGAGAGCAGGAGAAGACGAGGAAGATGCTAACCTCGAAGAAATTTGAAATGGCGAAACACCAGAATAAGTGTTTAAGTGGTACAGTAGACTTTTAACAGAAATCTAGCTGGAACTGCAGAACTGTGGAGCGTAATCACCGATGGACAGCAAATTAGCAGGTCTCTTGAGAGAAAATAATACAACCGTAAGCCCAGCCTATGGCCTTGAATGAGTAGGTATGATTTTCTCACTCAGTTTTGGTGAGATTGCACGCATTGCTAACGTCATATATGCTCATAAAAATGATCAGGTTGTAATTTATTGTGCTGTGTGTGCTCTTACCTCTCAGCCTTTACTTGTTTTGAGCCATTTTTGTCCACAGACAGACATAGTTAATTCTGAAAAATGAAGCGCAGTGGACATAAATCTGTTTCCAAGGCAATGCGAAATGTGGTCATTTCAGTGGTGTTATTAATTTCCTTTTGATGCGCTTCCTACACAGCACCGCCTTCTTTGGTTGAGTGGCCAGAGAGCCTGACGCGTCCCCGTGCCGGCACGGCTCGCTTTGTGTGTCAAGCTGAGGGGTTTCCAACGCCTCAGATCACCTGGCTCAAGAATGGAGAGAGAGTGCACTCCAACGGTCGAATTAAGATGTACAGCAGGTATAGTTCTTCACACAGAAGTAATATTAATATGCTTCGTTTACTTTGTAGTTTTATCAGTATGATAGAAGATAAAAACAGGAAAATAACAGACCTCTTCACCGTGCTCAATCACAGACCTCCAGGTGGCAAAAGATGAGCTTTCTCTGATGGCACCACTTACCTAACAACGACTCAAGTTCATTGGTTCCCCCCCCCCCCCCACCCCCAAAAACAAACCCATTTTTTTTTGTTTCCCGC